GCCGATATATACTGCTGCAAGTAAAATAGGTAATAGCGTCATTTCGTTGCTATGACAACTCCGATGCCGTTGCAACCCTGATCATAACAAATTTTCATCTTTATCTAATACAACTGTGGTGGCAGTTTTTCCAAAACTTTGTTTATGGCGACGTAGTTTATGCTCAAACTTGGGATGTATTGGCCCTGAAAAACTGTATCGAGCCACCTTAAGGAATTCCTTAGATCTGATGTCTAACTGTCTGTTTTTTTTGTTTGTTTTGTTTTGTTTTTGTTTTTTTTCATATTATTTTTTCGCGTGAACATTTTATTCAAGTAATATATGATTCCTTTGTAAAATAGTATAACACTTGATGAATGATTGTGGTATTTCAAAAAACCCTCCGACTAAACTGGGGTAAAGTATGCTGTCGACCAGTCTGTTTCTTTCCTTACCTCCACCCAAGCAGTGATTGCGTTACATCCGGACAAATGTGAATCGTTGTTAACTCGTTCAGCTGTCATCATTACCACTGGGGGAGCGTAGAATTGATCTGTAAAGTTGATTTTCTGTAACAAAATATAAAGCTTTTGACTGTCTTTTTTTTTTTTTGAAGTTAATTAATGACTAAATGAAAAGAGCCAAGTATTAAAAAAAGTTCCGTTTTCTTATATCTTCTCGAAGACTGACTGAACGTCAACTCAATTAACTTACAAACGAGCAATAGTTAAGTTCATCATCATCATAATCATCATCAACAACAACATCATCACCATGATCATAATCATCACCATTTATTTAACCCTTTCACTGTCAGAGTGTTTGATGGAGTTTTGTAAGGTGACTCTAACTTTTGAGTCTACGGACGAAATCCTATGATGTGACCATTCAAATAAAAGCTCTCCGCCTGTACTTTCACATGATGCTTTGTCAAAATTTTTGAAAATGAAATTTACAAATTTGGTCGAAATATGACTTTGGCCACATTTCGCAGTGAAAGGGTTAACTACGTTTCTGCTTAAGAGAGGATGTCTCGTTTAGAATACATAAGTGAAATTCATGGTACAATTGTAAATCATCGAAAAGCGAATGAATAAATAAAGAAATTAATTAATTAATCAGTTAATTAAGTAAGTAAGTAAGTAAGTAATAAGAGTATATTACACTTTACCTGGCAAAAGGCATAGTCAATCTGTTGAGATGGCGAGTTGTTGCTCGTAAACACAAGACTGTCAGATAAGGTGAAGTTATCGACTCGAAGGTTTGTATAAGCCATCCAGTTCTACAACAACGAAAAACATTTAAGGTTAGTGAGTCAGTTATCCAAGGAATGGGACCAGTCCCTATAGAAGTTTTACTCAAGTAGGAACCTGATTATAATTTAACAAAACGAGTACGGAGCCGATAACCTAAGTATATCATTTTATAAAACCTTATGGTAAGATTTAACTTGAGTACCTTTACTCATGTACACATGGTAACAGAAACTTGATTGCACTGACAGTTTTTGTTTCTTTTAATTTGGTTTTGTTTGCTTTTTCACCAAATGTCTTGAGGGTGGTTCTAATAGAATCAGTTACTTTCTTATAACTGTTACAGGTATTTTATACATATATTTGTCCTTTTTTATGTAGTTTAGGCACTAATAAAGGAATAACTGCGAGGAATGATATTTCGAAACTAGAAATGTATGGTTAGTTCGACTATATATTTTTGCAAGTATTCTAGTAAATTTGTATACAATACAGTATATGTGTAGCTGAGAAAAGTCGATGCACCTGGATACAGGTCTTTAAAAAAGTATTTTAACTCTGCTTACAATAGTGATGCCTTTGTGAAGTCCGTCGAAAATTTTAACTTCTCTAAGACAGATTTCAAAACTGCCTTCTGTCAACTCCTCCACCCACACTGCCATGGCATCTTGAGGTCTCTCAGGAAACTGGTGACTAGGAGTCGCAAGTACGATTGGAGGAGTCGCAAAACGCTTTAAATAAGGAAAGAACAAAGATGAATGAGTTAAAGGATCCTGAAAAAAAAAAAAACAAAAACAAAAACAAAAAACAGAGGAAATTTACAACTCATTAATCACGGTCTAAACACCAAAAATTATAATCAGGGACCGTGACTTAAGTTAAATCGAGAAATCTAGTAAACAGTGCTTCATCTCTGTACAACAACAACAGCAGCAGCTGCAACAACAACAAAAATAATCTTTCTCATTTATTTACGCGCGATTCATAGTACTACGCGGACTTTCACCCACATACAGAAAAAACTTCTTTTGGAAGGAGACACTCACATTGAAGCCGTGAGAAAAGGAGAAAAATATTTTACACCCAGTACGAGCTATCCTAAAATATAATTATTTTGTGTAAAGTTATTTAAATACAAAACAAATTTGGCCAAAAATACAAGTTATATCTTCTAATATCTTTCCTAAATAATTTGATTTCAGTTTGTGTACTGCCTTTAATGATTATATTTCATGAAAGATTCTCTAAATAGATTAACGGCGGCGAGC